GCCCGACGCGGGGCTCGAACTCACGGACCGCGAGATCGTGACCTGGCTGAAGTCGGAGGCTTAACCGACTGCGCCACCCAGGCGCCCCCACAAGTACTTTTTCTTAATGTTTACTTACTTATTTTGAGAGAGGGAGAGAGAGAATCCAAGCAGGCTCTACACTGTTAGCACAGAGCCCTATGTGGGGCTCGAACTCACAAACCATGAGATCATGACTGGGTGGAAATCAAGAGTCGGACACTTAATCAACTGAGCCACCTGGGTGCTTTTGAAAGCCTTTTTCATGCCAGGTCCTGTGCTAGCCACAAGTGATAAAATGGCAAGACCTTGTAATGCAAACATAGTACAGTTATGACCAATCATCACAGATCATTTTTCACTGAAAGTTAATTAAATTTATATAAACTCAATAGAAACCAAATTTGGGGATTGTGAAGTGATCCAATCATCTGCAATGTACCATTCCACCAATTCAAACATCAAGAGAAAAAGCATATTGCACTGCTCATCGATGGAGAAGGTCCATTGTTTTTATTTTTAATTTCTTACTGAGGTTTGCTAAGGGGCCAAAGGCAATATTCACTTTTAAATTTTATGAATTCATGTCCATGAGGTTTGGATGCAAAACAAATTCCTTTTCTGTAGGACTTCCCTAGAGACTTGGTTGTTCAAGCTTCTGTTCCAAATAGATTTAAGAATCTCAAAACATAATGAGACTTTCCTATTCATGGCATGCCACCTGATTCTTCCACTCATGCCTGCCTGGGCCAAAAGTAGAGCAAAACAATACAAACATATTTTCCACTCCTAAGTAGCATGGTGATGCCCACTGTTGAGTCTGAATATCTAAAGTGAAAACATGTTTTGCATATTCAGCTAAGGAGAGCCTTGAGATGCTTTCACAACCTTGCTGTAAACCTATATAACAGCTTGAAATTTGAAACCTTTTGAAAAGGTAAGGGTGATAGAAAATTCTATTATAGTGAAAGAGGCAAACAAAATGATACGGTCTTTAAAAATCTCTCAACTTTCACTTGGTTTTCAAGTATAAGACTCCTATTTGAGGTATTTTAGAAACCATTCCCCCCACCCCAAATCTGTGATTTCATAACTACCAATGGAATATGTAGTCTCAGATTTCCCACAAGGACCTCATGGTTTTAGCATTAAACACATCACTTATGTGCACACCTGGTAATTTGAGGTGCGAGGCTTCTACAGAAAGGCTATTCCAACTCAGGCTTAAGAGGGCTCCTGCTGTTTGGAACAAATTGGCTCTAGGAATAATAGTGACATTAAGGAATGCTCAGTGAATAACAGTGTAAGATTTTGGATTACCATGATTTGCCTCTTATAGCATATTAATAGTCATTTTTCATAAATAAGACAACTTTCATATATATTTTGGTTTTCTGCTTTCAAGTTAGTATAGTTGATGGGATCCCATGGTGCTGTCCAGTAGTGATATTTGCCAGAAGAATCAAGTAATGTTGAAGAGCTGCTACCCAGCTGGGCCGCCTAAACAAGGTAAGTTTCATGTTATAACTCTGCCTTTTGTCAAGGGTCATAGTCAAGGGTCAGATCAAAAGAAATGTTTTATATTCCCATAGTGTGTAAGAAAAGTAAAGGTATAGATGCCCTTGGCTTAAAAAATATTTTACTACAGGGGCATCTGGGTGGCTCGGTTAAGTGTCCAACTTTGACTCAGGTCGTGATCTTAGGGTTCATGGGTTTGAGCCCTGCATTGGACTCTGTGCTGCCAGCTCAGAGCCTGGAGCCTGCTTCGGATTCTATGTCTCCCCCTGTCTCTCTCTGCCCCTCTCTTTCTCTCTCAAAAATAAACATTGAAAAACTTTTTAGGTAGTTTACTATTTTCTGATCAAATTTATGCATAATATAGTAATTATAAAAAAATGGGTGCAAGAAAAATATCCACAATCCTATCATCCAAAGGCAAATGTTATTAACATTTTGATACACTTCCTTCTGTAGTTTTTTCAAAGCATATTTTTTAATGGAGACTGTCCTGTAAATTGACTTCTGTTGTCTGCATTTTTGGGGTGATTATGAAAATTTAACTCCATGCCTTATCCAGTGATAAGTTCTATTTAGTTTTCAGAGCTTTTCCCTTGTCTGCTATTTCTTAAAAATAATCAGCCTAAAATAAGTCTTATTGCAAAGAAGCACATTCTGGGGTACTGATTCTCCCCTTCAGTCTCACCTTTGAAACTTCCCCGAGTTGTTTCACAGTCCATAAAGTAAATTGACAGATCACTCCCTATGTCACTGGACCAGTCTCTTAATCTTGAGAATGGGTCAGTTCGGTTAAACAGTGTTGGATTTCAGGAGCCAGTGATACAGGCTATATGGCATAAGTAATTAGGTAAGGCATTTCTCTGGCAAAAAAACAAATACAGAGGTTAATGACTGGAGGAGATGATAAACCCAGTCTAAGTCCTGATGGTAGGCAGCCTGTTAAGAAAGATTTCTAGATGTTGGAGGCTGAAGCATCTTTTGCAGTTTGAGTGTTTCTAATGATAGGTCCTCAAGTGTTCAGGTAAACTGAGTGGCCCACATTGCAACAGGCATAAAGATTTTCTAAATATGATATGTTGTGGTGATTTCTTGGAAAAGAGGAGAGTTGTAGTCAGATATTGCAGGAAACTACAAGAATTCAGGATCCAGTCTAGTTTATGTGTAAATGCTAAAATTTTAAAGGCAGTGAACAGAGCTAGAATTTGATGTACAGGTGGGTATTACAGTTACTACTGAAACATAATCCAACATAATCAAAAACTAATTTGTTTGAAAAATAAGTCTCGTTTCAATACATTTGGCCTGTTCATTTACATAAGTGCAGCAAGAATAGTGATTAATCATATAAGCTGTTTTCATAAGGAATCTCAGATTAAACTGTTAAAAGCCTCTTCAAGCATCAGACTTTGCCTGCAATACCCAGGATTGCAACCCTGCAATCAGGATATAAGATGTGGAGGAGAGTGTAGAAAAGAGAACAAGAAAGAAAGTTCAGCAATGTTACTCTTTGCTATTGAGGGGATGAGCATATGGAGCATTCTGAGAGTATTAAAAAGGCATCATGCCAGTGAAAAATGATTGGGGCCAGTGAGACAGAATTGAGAAGCCATGCATGAATAAAGACTTTTGACCCTAAAATGAAGAGCCATCCTAAGAATCTTCAGAATTGCTCAGGATTGCATGTGTACTTGACTAAAGATAAGACAATTTTGTTGCAAACTACAGTCTTCCCTTCTATGATAAACAGCTAAGTTTTAAAGTTGCACTAAGTGCTTTCTCTTCTTGGGTTGGCATTGAAGGTGGTTGTGCTCCAGGAGAAGGGGACAGAGAGAGAGAATGAAGAGTAGAATCTGAGTTGGGCAGGTAAGTCTCCTGTGGAAGATTCTGTATATCTCAAGTAGGGAAGGAAGTGATAGACCACTGAGTTAAACAGCTGGTCATTGAAAAGAAGCCCCAATGTGGATAGTTTCTTCTTGAGGTTCCCCAAACGCTACCTGCCAGGAAGTGACCTTTCTTTACTCACCTGGTTAGGTTGCAGGAAACCCTTTAAGTGCAGTACCAGGTGGCATTTCCAAGGGGCGCTATTGGCTCTGTAAAGTCAAATTTAGTTCCTTAAAATTGGTCATATTTGACTCTGTACACACAATTCTCAAGACATTCCAATCAAAGCCTTGGTAATACAATCAATGTTTCCAATTTTTGTCCTGTTATAAGGATAACAGATTCTTACTGAACTTATGCAAATAATGATTTTGCCATGAAAATAAGAATACTAACAGTTTCTGAATTCTAGCGGGATCAGGCAGGGAGAAAAAGTAATTGTTTCATCATTGTTCACAAAGGTATACTTTACCACACTGCTCTAAGTCCTAGCTTAAGAGAAAAGATTTCCTTAGATCTGGAAAAACAAAACATGGTTGATTCTTTAATACTTTAAAGGCATAAAAATTTTATAATCAGAGTCCTTTCATTCATCTCTCTGAAGATGAAGCACTTAGAAAAATCCACCAGGGGGCGCCTGGGTGGCGCAGTCGGTTAAGCGTCCGACTTCAGCCAGGTCACGATCTCGCGGTCCGTGAGTTCGAGCCCCGCGTCGGGCTCTGGGCTGATGGCTTGGAGCCTGGAGCCTGTTTCCGATTCTGTGTCTCCCTCTCTCTCTGCCCCTACCCCGTTCATGCTCTGTCTCTCTCTGTCCCAAAAATAAATAAACGTTGAAAAAAAAAAATTAAAAAAAAAAAAAGAAAAATCCACCAGAATCAAATAATAACTACCTGTAAATGACAAAAGACTTTATTTTTTTAATTTTATTTTTTAAAATTTACATCCAAATTAGCATATAGTGCAACAATGATTTCAGGAGTAGATTCCTTAATGCCCCTTAACCATTTAGCCCATCCCCCTTCCCACAACCCTTCTAGTAACCTTCAGTTCTCCATATTTATGAGTCTCTTCTGTTTTGTCTCAATCCATGTTTTTTATATTATTTTTGTTTCCCTTATGTTCATCTGTTTTGTCTCTTAAAGTCCTCATATGAGTGAAATCATATGATTTTTCTTTCTCTGACTAATTTCATTTACCATACTACCCTCCAGTTCCATAGCAGCAGTATCCACAATAACCAAAGTATGGAAAGAGCCCAAATGTCCATCAATGGATGAATGGATAAAGATGTGGTGTGTGTGTATGTATGTGTGTGTATATATATATATATATATATATGTATATACATATGTACATATGTATATGTGTATACACACACACACACACTGGAGTATTACTCAGCAATCACAAAGAATGAAATGACAAAAAAGACTTTAAAATGGCCATGGTTAGAGATCCGATGAGAGATCATTATTAAAAAGAAAACTCGGTTATATCTGTGACATACATTTTAAGATGATAACTAGAGTTATTAGCATCTCTCTTCTATAAGGAGAGAGAGAGCAAATCTTTTGAGATGTTCATGTAGCCCTCTGGCAGTTACTTCTAGGTCAAAAAGACTGCATTTAGTATTGGATTTTGGGAATTTTGCCTCAAGTATCAAAAGTTTTGGACACTAAACACTACTGATATTAAAGCTTATTTTAATAATTCAATTTTAGCCATCTTGACTTCATAAGGTGAAATTTTCTCTCCTTCCAACTTTTTATATCCATTGAATTTATACTTTATCTTCCTTTTTGCCTTTCTGAAATAACCAGCTTGACTTTCATTTTCCTTAACAAAAATGCATCTCCATACCTTTTCTTAGCCAAAACTACATCCTAGTTTCCTTGCATACACAGTTGTTTCTATTATTATTTAATTACATATAGAAACCTTAATTGCTAGTGACAACTAAGAAGCAATTGTGAACTTCTACACTAACATTCTTCAGATTGGCAAATTTACTAACTCAAAATTTTAATTCCTCTGTAGTAGGTAAGACTATGTTCAGGAATTAATGTTCAATACTTCATTGCATTTGGAAATGATCCAGATATTTAGTAATTCATTTCTGTCATTGAACTCAGCAAAACTCTAAGGGTGAAAGTTACCAAAAAGATTTGAGAAACTTTTACTAGACATACCCTAACACATAATGATGAACTGAAAAGTTCACCAAAGAACTCTTTTCTCTTTTATATCTATCTAAATCACTTGCTCCCAACAATTATGTTTATATTACTCAACAAAATTTCACAAAGCATTAGATACCTAGCCATCACCTTAAGGTATTTTTCCCTTGGTGACAAATACGTAGTTCCTATAAGGGCTTGTCTTTATTTAAGCCCATTAAATGGAGCTCTTTTACAAGTTAATTTAAGCAATTCCATCTTGCGGTAGAAAAATATCACTCACCTACAAAATATATAGACACATAAACACAAAGACAGACACCAACAGAATCCTTATAGCTGACGTTCTAAAATCTTAGCCATGTATCAGGTACAATACAAGTTTATACCGCTCTCTGAAAATAGAGCATTCCTATGAAAACTTTTGTTAGGTCGAAATGGTGTAAAGTGAAGAAGCAATTACCATTAATTTATATAGAAACATTTTTGAGTATCATCACACCCCAAAAGTAACCCCTCTTAGGCATTTCTGATAACTTAGGACACATCTTGATAACATAGGCGCCAAATACATGGAGATGAAGTATGGATGCTTACAGACACACTTCAAAGCCGTGGAGGGAGGGTGAGTGTAGTTCCTGGGGAGAACGTTTGGTGGAGCCACTTGGTGCTTGAGGTATACACTGCCTCTGTAACAGCTTACTACTTAACAAATGCTGAACACTATTTTGCTTTTTGCCTTTTTTCTAAAAGTGAAAATTCTCTTCGCATTTCGTATGGTTAGTAAAAACAGGTGCAAATGTGGGTCATTCATAACAGTGAAGTGGTATAATATGAAATTTAAAAAAGCAGGGCTATCTGTAATACAAAACTTACTTGTTTATATAAGAACAGTTGGATCCAAAATGTGTTTCTGACAGTTTTAAGTTTACCTGCTCAGAAGGCTAACGTTTTTTAGTAGTATGTGTGGAGCAGACACTTAAGATTTTTAATCTGCCCTATTTTTAAAGACCTCCTTTGCATTTCAAAAAATGGCCCTTAGGTTGTGGAGAAGATGGGATAGAAAATCTACAGAAAAAGAGGGGAAAATATCTAAAGTCTCCCCCTGG